GTGGAACAAGGTGAGGGCAAAAATCCAACAGCAAAACTCCATCCAGCAGATCTGCAACATATCGATAGTTTGTTTCCTTATAAACACACTTTAGTGCAGCACATCCAAATGAAACACTTTCTGTATCGCTCACATGACTTTTTTCTTAAAGCGATACACGCACCAATATGGGGTTTCACTCTTGTGTGCTCGGCACAGTGCTGATGCACCAGTGTTGTTCGTCCCATCACTAGTCTATTATATTTGCAAAGCAATGTAGATTTAACTGTTTTCTTTTCTTTCCCACAGGAACTGGCAGAATACGAGAAAGTGTCTGACCACATTAAAATCACTCAGAGAGGTAAATAAAGTATCTGCTCCTCAATTTATTCTTATTGTTTAAATAATTAAAATAGAAAACTTGATCAAATCAAGGTCACATGAAGATGTTTTCGTTCCACTCCTATTTGAAGGTCTAACATTTCTTGTAGGGAATGCATATCTCCTGTCGCCTTTCATTTGAGGATTTGAGACTAATAGGAATAGTTATTTTTAAAATTGAGCAAAATTTCTGTCAATTTGATTCAGCTGTTTGATCAGTTGACTGTGGCRGCCATCTTGAATCAGGTTTTAGCAAGTATTATTTTTCGCCTTTTGTCAGCAGATAAAAATGACTCTTTTTGTGTTTTAATATACTGACACTTTCAGTCCGGTCTCTCAGAGCATTTGTTGGCTTTTCTGGGACTTATTTWCAGACCTGGAGCAGGACGGCTTCTCCAAGAACCCGTTCTTTCATGGGATCGTTGCTGAGGTGTCAGAACAGCACAGAACCAAAGAYGGTAAGTGAGATCAGTCACTAATTATGGTCAATATTAATCTCAAGTCTCTGCTTTTAGTCTAAAACTGCCTTTTGCAACGCTTTTATTTTCAAGGCGAGTAGGTGAGCRTCATCTCAGCGCCATTTAAAATAAAATAATACAAATAAAAATTGTTAACTTTATGACAGTAACTGTTTCTGGATGGGGGTGGGTGTTAAATTATTGGATATGGATACATTTTTCACTTTTGATACTATTATATTTATCAAGACCCATACCATAGATCGTTTTTACTGATTTTTTTTWAATTATATTTTATTGTCTAAAACTTAATTTGTACACAAAGCCAGTGTGTTTTTATTTTTTACTTTTACTGGTCCATCTTTGTATTTTCAGTTTATTTCATTTTGTAATTTTAATCTTAGAGCATCTTAACAGAGAATCCACTTCAACAGTTCTTATTGCTGTAAACATCGACCTCTTCAGAGTCTAAAAGCGGCGCAATGTTTCCTTCTGCTGTCYCCTGCAGCAGCATCCTGCTGATGTGTCCTCTGTCTCCACTCACGTCTTACATAACAAGGTTAATGTTCTGCTGTGATGCAGTCACCATCAACTGGACTCAGTTCATGAGTGGCTCCTTCTCTACAGCCAGGACTCAAACATTCATACAAACACATTCATAGGAAAAAAGATTAAAAAAAAAAGTTGTAAGGAACTTTGTCTAACAAAAAAAAGCCTCTAGACTAGCAACATCATACAAGGTGCAACACAAAACAAATGCTGTTTTGCTTGCATAGTTTTAAATATAATTATATGTATTGTTTTCTTGTTTTGTTTTGTTTTTTACTTTCAGGCCACACAAAGATAGGCTATGCACTTTATTTCTTTGCCTACAGCTCATGGACAGGACGAGCTGTTTTTATGGAGGATTTGTACGTAATGCCGGAGTTCAGAGGTAATAAATGGCTACAAAAGTAAAACACAGTTGTGTATTTTTTGTGCAAAACATCTCAAGTCCTGAACGATATTTGTCTTTCAGGGAATGGCATCGGTAAAGCACTGATGAGCAAAGTGGCACAGGTAAGTAACAATACAGCGTCGTGTTGGTATAACCTGCCCACGTAGCAGACAGGTGTGATCAGTTCTGGTGTCAAGCTGGCACTGCTGCATGGTTAATGGTTTGTCAACATGAAGTGGACCAAATCTGGCAATGATGGCACTGTTTTTAAGTTGGCATGCCACATTTCAATTCAGTCCGTTCGTTTGTTTTCTGCCGCTTATCCGGGGTCGGGTTGCAGGGGCAGCAGCCTAAGTAGAGAGACCCAGACTTCCCTCTCCCCAGCCACTTSKKCCAGCTCMTCCGGGGGAATCCCAAGGTGTTCCCAGGCCAGCCGAGARACATAGTCCCTYCAGCWTGTCCTGGGTCTTMMTCKGGGCCTCCTCCCAGTGGGACGTACCTGGAACACCTCACCAGGGAGGCGTCTAGGAGGCCTCCTAACCAGATGCCCGAGCCACCTCAACTGGCTCCTCTCGACGTGGAGGAGCAGCRGCTCTACTCTGATTCCCTCCCGGATGACTGAGCTTCTCACCCTATCTCTAAGGGAGAGCCCAGCCACCCTGCAGAGGAAACTCATTTGGGATGCCTGTATCCACAATCTCGTTCTTTCAGTCACTACTGTAGGGGTTTTGGGTATATTCTAAAATGGATAATTTGTGAATTATTTAAATACTCAAATTATCTTACCTCGAGGCACCACGTTCTTAATTTGGTCAAAAATTAACCCAGGAAAGAGACGAAAACCTGTAACTTTATTGTAATCAGTCTCACAATAAATGTACCCAAAATCATTTGATGAGTCCTTGTCTTATCAGAACCAATAGTACTTTATCAAGACACAAAAGTGACATTAACTTATGTTGGCACGTTCTCCACGGGCCATTTATTTACAGATTAAATGTATTTACAACTATGGTGAGTAAGAAATGATGACATATTGAACCAGGTAAAACTGACAGAGTTTGCAATCACAAGTGAATAAACAAACAAACAAACAAACATTGAATAGTTAACTAAGCAAAACTTAGTAGATTCTTTATGGTCCTTTTAGTTCTTTTCTGTAAGAAAAATGGATTAGATGACATTCTTTGCAATAAGACAGAAAACATTAGATACACAGATTCCTTTATC